TCGCCACGGTCTGGCTCTCTCCCCGGCAGCGGGTCAGGGGACACAGGGCAGCTGCGGAGCAGTCGTGAGGCAGTCTTTCCGAAGCCTGTGCCAGCTGCAGCTGCTGCCGGCAGTGAGGTCCCCAGGCGACTCCTAGCCTGCCCCTGCTCGCCGCTCGGGGATGAGGGCTGAGGACGGCCCCAGCGGCGACGGTGATGGGCTTCTCCGGGATTCAGCCGTCACAGCCACTGCACACCGTAGGCTCGCCAGCACCCAGGCCTGAGGGTGACGCGCCCAGTGCCCAGTGCCCAGCGGTGCCGCTCTCCTTGCTGTGCCCGCCCGCCCACACCGAGGGCTCCTCCTGCCATGGTCAGTGCTGCCAGGCAGCCACCCAGGGAGCTGTGTCCCTCCAGCCCAGACCCTGGTCTGCTGGGCCGTCCTGCAAGGCTCCCCCCTCCCCGAGACCTGGAGGTACAACCGCACAGACCTCTACGCATTTCTTTGATGCGACCTCCTTTTTTTCCTTTTGATTCAATGGCCTCATCCAGCACCTGCCTCACTGCCCCTGCTCCTGCGGCCACTCCCTTAGGATGAAGCCCCGGGCAAGGAGGTTCTGACCAGCACGGACTCATCTTGGGAACAACGCCTGGGGGCTGCTGACTCCAGAGACCCAGTTTCAGTCAAACCAGAGATCACAGCTAGGCCTCAGTGTGCTTCAGCTCCAGGCTCAGAAGAGCAGCACCAGCGGCTCTGATCACCCCCCTCTCCCCCCCAGCACTGACCCATCGGGGCGGGCTGGCCCTGACACCTGAGTCACCGAGATTAATGATTTCCCTGCAAGCCATCGGGCGCCAGGTCTTTGAGCAGCAGCCCCGACTCTGGACCGGGCCATTTCCTAAAGATAAGCCCTGCTGTCCGCGCTGCGCACTCCCGTGTGTCCTACTGGGGTCTGAGGCACAGGCAGGCGGCCTTCAGGCCTGTAACAGGGCGTGTGCTGGAGCGGATGCTGCCCCTGCCACAGGGGGCGGAGCCCCGCCGGTCACACTGGACCTGCAGGAGCAGATGAGGCTGTCTGGGCCTTTGAGACGCTAGGGAGACGGGTTGTCATGGACTGAATGTTTGTGTGCCCCCAAATCCACATAATCAAAGCCCTACCTTCTCACGTGGTTGCATTCGGAGATGGGCCCCTAAAGAAGTAATTAGGAAATGAGGTGTTAAGGGTGGGGCCCTGATCCCATAGGGTTAGTGGCCTCATAAGAGATACCAGAGCTCACTTTCGTCCTCCTGTCTCCCTGCACATGAACCAAGAAAAGGCCCATGAGGACCTGGGGAGGAGCCGTCTGCAGGCCAGCAAAGGGCCTCCAGAAGCCAACCCACCTGCACCTTGAGGCAGAGTGTGCAGCCTCCTGGGCCAGGCAATGAGGGGCTGTGGCTTTGTGGTGGCGCCCGAGCTGTCCGAGGGGCTGTCTCACAGCCTGACTTTACTGAGCCTCATGCTGTCAGCAGCACAGTCCCTGTTTCTCAGCTGAGAAGGGGGTGCAGGGGAGCCCTGTGGCCGGCAAGCGATGCGCAGCCCTGCAGTGAGGTGGGGGGTCAAGGAACAGAAGAGAAGGGTCTCTCTCTTCCCAGGACCAGCTGTGATCTGGGGCCAGCTGCCCACCCCCCTCGTGCCCATGGCTGGTGAGGCTGCTGTGCTCAGAAAGCTTGTAGGAAGGCAGCTCTGTCCCTGCTCCCAGTGGGGCACCTCCCAACCCCACTGAGACCCCCAGACCACAGGGACCACGCACCGCCCTGCTGAGGCCGCCTCCCCCAGGCCTCCTGGCAATGGCGGCACCACGCGCCACCCTGCCAGCAGGGCACCACCGTCTCCCCTGCCTCTGCCCCTGCAGCCCCCATGGGCATCTGGAGGCCTCTCTCTCAGCTCCTGGGAGCTGGAGGGGAATGGGACCTCCCTCTTTTTGCCACTTCACCCCACTCCTCCTGTCCTCTGACCAGCAGCCCAGGGTCAGACACCGGGGACAAAACACCGGCCTCCCCTCGCCCTCCCCAGCCCCCACGGCAGGCCTCCTGCCCCCGGGTTCCACCACTTCCTCTCTTGAGGGCTGGGCGAGGCCACTGGGCTTGCTCCCGCTGAGCTGAGGACGAGGCACTCGACCCCCTTCACGTCGCCCTCTGCAGGGCCAGGAAGCTGGGTCTGCCACCTCTGTCGGCCCGCAGGACCCCTGGCAAGTGGCTGGGGGCCTTGCTGGCCACTCGGGACAAGCAGAGAGCAGAGCCTGCGGGGGCCCCAGGACGGACCCTGAGCTGCTCTGTGATGGGGCTCCCTCCAGCCGCCCCCTCGGGAGCAGGGCTGGGGGGCTCTGTGTCTGATTGCTCTGGCAGGGAGGGTCAGGGACTGCGATGGCTCCATCGGGCCTGAGGGAGCCCCTGGCCGGTATGCCCTCCCCTCAAAAGTGGGATCTGCCTCTGTGTTGACCAGCAGTGACCAAGCAGGACTCCTGGGCCCTGGCAGCTCTCACCGTGAAAGCCCACACCCGTGTGAGCAGCCCTTCGCCCAGGAACTGCTGACACCCAGCAGCACCGGGAGCCGCCAGCGGCCTTCACGACCCAGCGCCTTCCTCCCGCTGACGGGCCCCCACACGGGGTGGGGGTGGGGGTGGGGGAAAGGCTGGAGACACTTCCCCTGAGTGGCTCGCAGGGGTTGAACTGAGCAGTTTCCCCTCTGCGATTTTCAGTTTGAGACTTGTTTACTTCCCACCCGCCCCACAACCGCGCAGACCCTGGGAGGAGCACTCCCTGTGGAGGCAGCCTGGCCGCTGGGAGCCAGGACGGGCTGTCCACCCCCTCTGGGCTGTGCAGAGCAGATGTCCTCATGTCCAGCCGCTCAGGTCTCCGGCTGGGGGCTGCCGCTGCTCTGCCCGCCTCAGGGCGATTCCCAGGAGCCCGGCTGTCACAGCTGCTGCAGGCACAGGGCACGCCCAGGTCAGCAGCAGGCCTGAGGATCCTGGAACCAGACGCTCACTTCACTGACCCGCCTCGAGCTGGACACACGTGGAAACACTGGTGGCCAGCTGACGTGTCGGCCTGGTCGCCTCGGTTTGGAGGGCAGCTCGGGCCGGGGCTGTCTGGGCCTTGCAGCGGTGGGCCCGGGGGCAGGCGGGGTCTTCCCGGGGTTCACTGGGCACCGTCACCGGGGCCCAGGGTGAGCAGGCGGCACTGCCAGGGGCCCGGGGGTCCTTGTCCACGCAGCCGGCCACACCAGCCAGCGCTCCGAGGTCTCTGCAGAGAGAGGAGGTATGAGCTGCGGAAAGAGCCAGGACTCCATGGGCCCAACATTGTCCCCTGCTGGGCCCCAGGCCCGGCCATGGCCTCCAGTGGGCCTGGAGCCGACCAGCACCCCAAGGCTGGGGAGCCCCATTTCTCCCGCTGGAGAGGCCCTGCCATTAGTGCCCTGCCTTGAGCCGCAGGCCCACAGCTGTGAGTGAGCCGAGCAGAGACCCAGGTCTCAGGGGCCCTGCTCCGGGCTTCTCCAAGGGCGGGCGGGGTCCCCGGGCTTCAGGAAGGGCCTTATTCAGAGTGTGTGAAAACCACAGGTCAGGCTGCCTCCCCAGGCTGGGGGCCAGGTCACTACCTTCTCTAGCTTCTGTTCCCTTGTGGCCCCTACTCCCCAACCCACAAACCAACCAGTCCCCAGGCTGATCAGACCTGAGACCTTGGCCTGAGATGTCACCTGGCTCCTCTTTCTCCCCGAAAAACTGGCCTCTGCTCCACCTCCAGCCTCTGCAGGCTGCTCCCTCCCGCAGGGGCTGTCTCCCTCCTTCCCCGAAATCCAGGCTCACATCATGTGCCACCTCCTCCGAGCAGCCTTCCTGGCTCTCTGTTCCCACCCACAGCTAATTCTAATTCTCAGACAAGCCCTTGGAAGTATAGGAATTACGAAATTATCTCTTGGTTTCATGGATACGTGAATGAATCAATTAATGAATTAGTGAAGAGGAAAGACAGCTTGGGGGCAAATCCGTGGACTTTGGGGCCAGAAAGCCTGCGTCAAAGCAGCTTCATGCTTAGCCGCCGTGCATGGTCTGGACAAGTTCCTTGAAATGGAATCAGAGCAGTGCTTACCCCTAAGGTTAGAAGTGGGAAGATCTGAAGTGGGAACAGTGCGGCCATGCCCAGTCCTGGGACGCCTTTATGAAGTAAAAGCAGGTCAAGGGGGAACCTGACCTTGCTGATGACAATCACCACCAGCAGTGTGAGAACAGGCACCTGGGCCTTGGCTAGGATGGCCAGATCCTGGGCTGCTGTCAGGGTCCCTGCCTGGGGGGCCTTGCTTCCTCCATCAGGCTGTGCAGTCCTGGCAGGCGCTGCCTTCTCTGGTCGCCATGAGCTGGACTCAGAGCAGGATCCTGGGGGCTGTGGGAGAGCTCGGGGAGGGGCTCTGACCCCCATGCTCCCCCAGCCTCGCCTCCTACTTCCTGCCTGAGCTGCCCTGACTAGAGCTGATTCTGAGTGGCCCCAAGTTGCCCTCTGGGGAGGTGGTCACACAGTTCCCCGCATGGCTCTGAGCTGGCCATCAGAGGAGAGAGAACAAGGCCCCAGGTCTGAGGACAGGCGTCGTGGGCAGGCCCCGACCCCACAGCACCCACCCGGGGAGACCCCTGCAGCCCGGGATGCATGCTGCCTGGGGCGGGGTGGGGGTGGGGACAGCCTGCCCCGCTCCGCTGGGCTTTCCCAGCTGAGCCAGGACAACCTGTCAGGTGAACCCCCGAGGGGCCGCATGGGCGGGGCCTGAAAGGAATCTGACTCATGGAAAGGAAAGGCATGAGCAGGACCACCCCAACTTAACCAACACGAAAAGAAAAGGACTTGCGCCAACTCTGCAGTCAGGCTCACTTCTACCCGGTGCACAAAGCTCCCAGCACACACGGGAAAACACCAGCAGGCCCGTCAGCAAAGCAAAAGATGACCACACCCAGGGACGCAGCCGGCAAGCAAGGGCCGGAGGAAACGCCCTTCCTCACGGTCGATGAAGAAATACGAAGGCACGCAGAGGGGCTCCCGCGAGGCGGCCCTGCCAGTCCGCCAGGGGAAATCATCTCCACTCAACTGTGCTGGGCCCCTGAAGAATCTCTATATAAAAGGCTCATATGTGCTGAAACCGGTTTGGCTCAGTGGATAGAGCATCGGCCTGTGGACTGAGGGGTCCCAGGTTCGATTCTGGTCAAGGGCATGTACCTGGGTTGCGGGCACATCCCCTGTGGGAGATGTGCAGGAGGCAGCTGGCCGGTGTAAGTAAAAAAAAAAAATAAAAGGCTCATATGCAAAGTGTCCCCTCACTCACTATGACGTGTGCTGACCACCAGGGGGCGGCGCAGAATGAAGGAAGGCCCCGATCGGCCCTGATCACCGGCCAGGCCTAGGGACCCTACCTGTGTATGAATTTCGTGCACTGGGCCTCTAGTTTGGTAATAAAAACATTAAGACTCTTTAGCCTAAACAGTCTCTTTCTAGGATCACCCCAAAATGTCATCTCAAAAAAGAGAAACAGTTCTAAGCACCAACATTTACCCAAACCTGAGCAGTCAGGGGATCTCGTGAACACTGACCATCGGGCGGAGCTCGGGGTCCACCGGCCGTGTAACCACAGCTGTGTCCCAGGCCGAGGGCAGAGGCAGTGCAGGTGCGGCCACCAGCAGGCTGGCCCAGGTCTCCCAGGGGCGGGAGAGGGGACCAAGCCCTCCGCGGGGCAGGCCCGGAGTTCCTGCAACCCTGGGCAGCCAGGCCAGCCCATCCTGCGCCTGCTTTCTCATCTGTGCGGTGGGACAAGAGCAGCACCAAGAGCAGCACCCACAGCGGTGCCCGCCCGCCCTCAGCCTTGCCCACTCCTGGTGCCTCAGCCCTGCCAGGACCTCAATGCGCAGGGAGGCGGCCATGGCGAGAGCGGGAGTAGCCCGGGGCTCCGGGGGTCCTGCTCTGTGAGGCGGGCCTGGTCCTGAGCGCTGCCTCCACCCAGTGCAACAGGTCTGAGGGGGCACCCAGCGCAGTCGGGGGCGGGGCTCCCAGGGAAGCGCGAGCCCACGGCCTGGCATGATGGGGACAGTGACTGCTGAGGACAGCAGCGGGGACAGCAGCCCCACACATTGTCTCCGCCTCTGCATTTGTGACATGTCTCCAGAATAAAGCTTTGGAGAAGAATAGCCTGAGTTCACGGTGATAAAACAAAATCAAATGAAAAGGGAAAAGCAGAACCCATCCTCATTCCTCGCAGAAAAAATAGACAGACTAACAACAGAACTGAAATCACACTTTGTAAGGCCCCGGGGAGAGCTGAGGCCAGGGAGAGGCCCCTTGCAGAGCCCGTCTCGTCAGCCGGCAGGGACTCACCTTGGCCCCAAGAGCGCCGTCTGCACGTGTCGGGGCGCCCGCCCCACCCAGCACCCAGGCACCTGCAGTCCGAGCACTGGCTCTGCAGGGACCGCTGGCGGGCTGCTGGTGCCACGTGGGTGCTGAGAGGGTGCGCAGAGCGGGTGACCACTTTCAGCCAGACCAGACTCTGGGAGCCAGAAGAGGGTGTGTGAGAGAGCCCCGTGTGTGCGTGTGCGTGCGTGTGTGCATGTGTATGTGTGTGCATGTGTGTGTGTGCGCGCGCTGAAAGGGAGGCAGAGGGAGGGGGGAGGACAGAGCAAGTCCGCAGGACACGGCGCAGCCTGCGGGGGTGGGCGAACAGGACACGCAGGCACAGGAGCTTTGCCTTCTCCCTCAGGGTGATTCTCACGATAAAGCCACGGGGTGGGAGGCCCCGCAGCCAGGGTGCGGCGTCAGCACAGGTGCCAGCAGGACCACAGCCTGTCTCTGGGCCAGGATGTGAGGCCCAGGAGAGCAGCACAGCGTGAGGGGGCAGCCAGTACCCGCGGGTTCCTGGTTCTCCTGCCCTGTCCTCACCAACCCAGCCCCCCCGCCCTTATCCCTGCCCACTGCCCAGCCGGTGCCCACGTGGTGAAGCTGTGGTGGCCACGCTCCTGGCCAGGCTGGCCTCTGGGCCCCACGTTGCCGCTGCTGCTCTTCAAGCCCGGGAGGCCCAGGTAGGTGGCCTGCAGCGTCCCCAGGTCTTCACCTCGCAGCTGGAGCCACAGCTGGGCAGCTCTGCAGGGAAGAGACGCAAGGCAGTCAGTGCGCGAGGGCCCAGGCCGCCACCCTGAGCCTCTGCAAGCTGGGCTGGGAGCACTGGAGGCCCTGTGGCCTCTTCAGCTCTGGGCGGGGGGGTGGGGGTGGGGGGGCATGGTCACAGGCCATCGGGACATGCCAGACCACTCTACCTGCCAAGCAGGTGAGGGACATTCTAGAGACAAGTCGCCAAGGTCAGCGGCACAGTGTAGCGAATGGAACTAGTGGCCCTGAATTCTACTCATAAAGACGGTTAAATGGCAACTTTTATGTTATAAACATTTTACCACCTGTTAGAAACTAGAGTCAAGCCTCAGTTCTCATATATCTCCCACCTCAAACAATTCGGTTCTCTACTCAGTTGTTCACAGAAAAATATCTCAATTGTCATCCTAGCTGGTTTGGCTCAGTGGATGGAGCGTCGGCCTGTGGACTGAGGGTCCTGGTTCAATTCTGGTCAAGGCATATGTCTGGGTTGAGGGCTCGATCCCCAGTAGGGGGCGTGCAGGAGACAGCTGATTGATGATTCTCTCATCATTGATGTTTCGATCTCTCTCTCCCTCTCCCTTCTTCTCTGAAATCAATTAAAAAATATATTTTTAAAAATCTCTGTTGTCAAAACTTCAGTTCTCGACCTGACAACCCTTTCATGCTGATACCTGTATGACCAGTCACGTGACTCTCAAGTGACAAAGAAAATACTCAAGTATGAGTCAGTTTACTGCTAACCCTCGCATTATTAACATCTCAGGAAATTGTGCTGTGAATATTTCCATGTTTTTCTCCTTTTGTTGCTACTTATTATTATTAAAAATGTACCATGGGTCCTAAGGTTAGTGATAGCAGCAAAGTGAAAAGGAAAGTTGTGAGAAAAACACTAGAGCTTAAAAAAGAAATATGCAAAGTAGGATAGAGGTGTTTGCATGTCTGATCTGGTTACTGAGTATGTCATGGTGAAATCGATGATTAGCACAATTTTAAAACATAAAGCGGCCATCAAAAAAGCTGATGTAGCTAAAGGCGTGAAAGAGACAATGATCACAGACAATTGAGGAAGGGTAAGACGAATCATTGGGGGTCTGGAATAGATTAGTTCACTGTACATGACTTTAACGGGAAAAGTGATTCAGTTTACAAACAAATCGCTTCTTGAACAGCCTTCCGAGAACCAAGGTTCCGCTGGGCTCCGAAAAGGACAAATTACAGTGAAGCACAGTGAGCAGAGTCCGCCTGGAGCTGCAGATACCACAGCCTCAGCCCTCAGGCCCCACGGCGGAGCACACACTGCTCACGGCTGCACGCACTGCAGGACGAGCCAGCCCCTGTCCCCGCAGCCCACACGCCGCCAGGGCCATGATGCTCATGACCACGATGCCACGCCCCAGCCGCAGTGCAGACCCTGACCGACCGTGTCCGCAGCCGTCGTGGGCTGTGAGGGCAGCTGTTGGTACAGTGACCCTGCTCCTCATGCCCCTGGGCACCCTTAGGAGGCCCAGATGGGCATGAGTGCTGGCACCCCTGGGGCAGTGCCGGGCCGGCTCCTGGCTCCAGGAGGTGGTCAGGGCTCAAGGCCACAGGCCCCCTCCCACGAGGACGCGGGGCCACCGTGCCTGTCGAAGCGCCGCTGCTCGGTCCTCTTCACGCACTTCAAGAGGCAGCAGGTGAGGAAGGCCATGGACATGAGCAGGATGATGGCGCAGCTGACGATGGAGGCGATCACAGCCACTCTGAAGCCGAAGGTCTCATGGGGCGTCACAGCTGCAAGAGAGACGAGACCAGCTCCAGCATGGCCCGCCTAGGCCCAGCAGTGGCGCTCACCCTGCCCCCGGGCGCCCATGCCATAGGGAGGCAGGCAGCTGGCTGCTAAGGTGAAGGTCTGTGCAAACCCTTGTAGGAGTGAGGCTGTCAGGGAAGACTGCCTCGCAAGAAGAGGGGTTGGAGCAGGGTTTTGGAGTGTGTGTAAGAGTTCGTGGGGGCGCACGGGAGAAGCTCTGATGGTGCCAGGGAGGCCCTTCTGGCTCTCACCCACTGCAGGCTGGGCTCAAGGCCAAACCCAACAGAGCCACAACATGGAAGGGTCCCCACTGTGGGGCACCATATGAGCCGAGGACTCCCAATCTGAGGGCCATGGCAAGAGGAATCTCCCATAGCCCCTCTTGGCTAACTCCCGTTATCTTGGGTTTTGTATCTCTAGGAATCTAATCCTAACAGATACCCTTCTACTCGAGATTCACCCAACACAGGAGCATTTTAAAGGCTCTGAGAAGTCCTGCAGCCTTTAAGTTAACATGGCCTTTTCCAACTGTCTTGGCTACTGAGCCCTTTTCATCACACAGTACACTGGCCTCCCTTTGAAAACGGCTGTGCTGGGTATTACCCTTCAGCACCCTGCACTACAAATACAAATAGAAAACCTCTCCCCATGGGCTCCAGGGCCAGACACATCCTGGCCCTTGGTGTCCCGGTCCTAGAATTCTTGGCACATGGAGTCTTCTATCAGGGCTTGCCACATGCATGCTTAGAGCCTGAATCAACGAACAAATGCAGAACAGTAAGCGCTAGCTCAGACAGCAAGGTGACCGCTGGGCAGTGGTGGCCATGTCAGTGGCAGGCCTCGGGTCTGGAGCAGCTCCTGGGACTGGAATCCACACTATGGACGTGAAGCCACCAGGGTCACCAGCACCGGGAGCAGGAGCCTACACAGGGGCCCAGCCGGGACTGGCATCCACGGCACCGTCTCTGTGGGCACCACGCTGTCCACATGACAGCACCAGGCCCCTCCCAGGGCGCCCGTGGATCTGGGGGCAGTGCAGGGGAGTGGGCCTCACCTTTGCACACAGGGGTCTCCGAAGACCACTCAGCGACGCTCCCCTTCCAGGTGCAGGCGAGGAGGCCAGACCCCACCATCTGGTGTCCTGAGGGGCAGTGGAACACGACGACAGTCCCCACAGAGGCCCCGTCCCCGCGCAGCACTTGGAGAGTACCCCTGTGGGGCGGCCGCACCTGGGTGCACGTGCCTAGGGAGAGAGGTGACAGCATGAGCCCCCACTCCGGAGGCAGGGGCTCTGCAGGAGCCTCGGCTGGGATGGGCATGGCTGCCCGACGGCCATGTGAACTCTGGGTCATCCAGCCCCGGACAGGAGGGGCAGGCAGAGCCAGGGGCTGGGAACCGACCGACCTGAGGCAGACTCTCCGTGTCCTGAGGGCCCAGTGCTGGGAAAAGACCACGCTGGGATATCGCTCAGCAATAGAAACAATAAAATCTTGCCACTTGCAACGATGCAGATGGATCTAGAGCGGACTATGCTAAGTGATATGGCAGATAGAGAAAGATAAAGACCATGTGATTTCACTTATATGTGGAATTTAAATAATAAAACAAGTTAACAAACAGAAACCAGAAACAGACCTTAACATACAGACCGCAGGCTGGTGGTGGCCGTGTGGGGGGGAGTGGGGGATGGGTAAAACATTTTTTTTAAAGGAGACAATCCGATGTTAAAGAAAAATTCTGAGCGGGGGGTTCTTTAAAAAGAGATGTCATGCACACCTACGAATGAAAAAAGGTGGATTTTATAGTTATAGGGAAAAATTAAAAAATAAAACGCATGTGCAAAGCTTGGCCCACAGGAAAAAGAAAAAGAAAAACACGCATCGGAAGACAAAGCAATGATACAGGGATCACCCGAGCAACAGGCCAAGGCCCCAGGGTCTGGGCGTTCCTCACTAAATGCTATTCTTGCTGCGCGTTAAAATGTAGCACAATATTTTGCAGACCGGCTGTAAACAAGATGACCTTGACAGGAACCCAACCAGATAAGTGTAGCCAACTGCAAAGAAATGAAAGGGTGATTAACCAAATAGTGGATGTTGGCAATGGCGCCTAAGCCTTCTTCCTGGAAACAGCTTGGGTAGTGGATCTGGGCTCCTTCCTGCTCTGAGCAGAAACGACCTTGCGACAGACAGCCGGTCCGCACCTGGGAGTCACAGCACAAGCTCCAGAGGCAGGCGGGGGCGCTGCACGAGAGCAAAAACTTTTGTTACTCCCTAATAATTGAAAAACAAACATAAACTCAGGTTTAAAAATCAGCAGAAGATCTTTGGAGGATATAGGACAAAAGTTCAACACCCTTGTTCATAGAGATCTCACACCATGAAAGCTGAACGTCCAAATAAAGAAGTGCCTGACGCGTGGGCGAGCTTCAGAGAGAGATAACTGGCCAGCAGGCACCAGAAGCGCTGGCTACAGGAACCGAGGAAACTATTCAAACGAGCGCTCATCTTTTACCCTCAGCTCGGCAGAAAGGCCAAAGGAGAAAGGCCAGGGCCAAGGTAGGAAGAGCCTGGGCACTCCTCTGGACCTTGCTCATGGGTGCAGACCCACCCCCGGACGGAGTTCTGGCAAATGCATTGAGAGCCTTATGCTGTACATGCAGCTGAGGACGTCGCCAACAGAAATACTATGAGTCCGCTGCCAGGACCGCTGCACCAGGAGGTTCGCCTCACAGCAGTGAGCAGTGAGGTCGCCCGTCTCCAGCTGTGGGGACGGTGCCGCAAGGAGAGGTACATCTGGTGATGTCAGCAAGGCTGTCCTTACAGAAGGACAGAGAGACAATCACGGCATCCTATATAATAAAAGGGCAATATGCTCATTGATCATCACACCGTCACAAAGATGGTGGCACCCACAGCCAATAAGGAGGGAATATGCTAATTGACTGTCATGCCCTTAAAAGATGGCAGCACCCAGTCCCTTCATCACCACCGGGGTGGCTCCACGCACCTGCCTCCAGAGTCCCCCAGTCCCCTCAGCCCCCCAGCCGCCGATGGCCAGCCCGAGGCGCAGGCAAGCCTCGGATGGCCAGTTGCTAAGAGGTGCACTAACCACCTCTTGGTCCTTTTCCCTGGCCAGCAGGCTCTGATCGCCCAATGACAAATGGGGAGCTGGAGTGGAGGGCAGGGCCAGGGAGTGGGCAGAACGGCTGACCTCTTGGTCTCTCCCCCAAGCCGGCAGGCTCCGATCGCCTACTGGTGAACGGGGAACCGGGGGTGGGCGGCAGCGGGGGGCGGGGCCAGCTGTGGGCAGCTGGGGAAGACGGCCCTGAACACAGGCCAGGCCTGGGAACCATACCCATGCACAAATTCGTGTGCCAGGCCTCCAGTTCTTTATGAAATAACTAGAGGCCCAGTGCACAAAAATTTGCGCACTCGGGGGGGGGGGGGGA